CTTGATGTTGACTCCACTTGGTGATGATCCTTCAAAACCTCTAAGATCATTAGGGATTTTTTTTGCATGATCAAAATCAATTCACCGATGACAATATTTTGAATGATTATTGTGATTTTAGAAACAAAATGAATTAATTCTCAACATGGGATTATGTAGGCCGCATGATCACCTTCTTTCCCTTCCTCTTCCTCTTCCTCTTCCCCTTCTTCTTCCCTCTTGGAGGTGGAAGCAGTGCCCTTCTTCCTCAGCTTCTTCATTGACATTCAAGCAACCTTTTTGATTTGCTTCTTCTCCTCTGCCTCATCAAAAATAACCCATAGTGTAGGGGTCATTGCATTGATTTGGGAGGGGTTTAGCAACTGTTTCACTATTAAGAGGCTAGTATGTTGGATGACCGACATATGTTTACCCATGATAATTAAAGCAAACCTTGGGACCCCCCCCCCCCCCCCCCCCCCCCCCCCCCCCCCCCCCGTGGGACTCCCTTCTTCATTTTGTAGGATTCTCTAGTCGACCTTGTTGTGATTTCCCAATCCTCGCAAAAACTTCAGAGGAACCAAAAGTTCTAATCCTTGATTTTATTTTCCATGTCAATCAAATAAAATTTTTGAGTTGAATTGAAAAACTTGAAAGAAAACATATAGGAGAAAACTCTCGAGACCATGGGATCTCCATCCATCGCAAGTAAATAATGAAAGTCATCACTGTCGTGATTGAGTTCAACTCATCTACACGGGGATGGCTCCATCATGATTGAAAATTGAATGGATCTTCTACCATAATGAAAGTCAAAGTCCCCACCAAAAATGATCCATATAGAATATAATATTATCACCAAATGATCAGTCGCCCTTACCTCCGGCTCTACCGGCGTGAGCACTACACATGTGTCTTTCCAATGTCTTTCCAAAGATTTGCATCAAATGATGTGAGGTTGACTTTTGGGTTGATGGCATTGAACTAAATAGTTGTGGAGAACATTTGCAAGCAATGGGAACACAAGAAGAAAGCTAACCCAAGAGAGAGACAAGAAACTGCTGAAAAAAAGGAAAAGAGAAATGTAAAAAAGCATAAATCATTCTTTCCTATATGTAGGGTATTCAAGGAATTTGAAACACCTTGAATTTGTACCTCAATCTTTGGAAATCCACATTGGTGCAAAAATAAAGAAAAAAAAAAGAAGAAAGATTTTGAAATTTTGTAGAAATTAAAATTTTAATTTGTAGCAGGAAAAATTTTACAAATAGGTTTTCAGCTGCCTTAGGAATCACTTAACCTCAAGCCATTAAAACTTTGGTATAACACACGCCCTCCAAACTTAAAATCTATACCATATTCCTCCACTCAAACCTGGGAGATCAAACTAGTAGCCCAGCGATCTGCCATTTCCATCTGAAGAGTCAGCACCTCAGTTTGGAGAGTTGCTATGTCCACATAAAGGACCATTAGCTCTTCATTTAGGTTGGATATGGCTACCTCACTCTGAAGGCCAGCTTCTCAGGCAAAGGAGTCCACCTTTTTTTCCATCAAGTGAGCTGAGGACGTTGGTAATTCCAGCCAACTATCAGTCTTCCTTTCAACATCCTCAGGTCTCAACAGATGGTCAGGCGTGCCTCTGCCATTGGCCAGAACAAAAGGTCCCTTAGCTACCTCTGGAGCAAAGGGTTAAATGGCTTTGATTACTTAGGATTTGATGATGTGCATGGTCTCCTCTGTAAGAATAATCGACTGTTATAAAAAGGAGAAAAGAATAAACATACCAAGTCTAAGAAAAGTAGACTTTTCTACTCCAATCATTCACTCCATCTCAGATGATCGAAGACTCTCACCATCGAGCGGTTGGACAATTGCCTAGATAGCCTTGTTGACCAAAAGAAAGGTAGTTGACCCTTCACAAGGCTGGGTTTGTGTCTATACGATCTCCTAGACTGATTGGTGAGCAAGTTACTGACAAATCGAATCTGAAGCTAGGATCGTTGCACCAATGGAGTGCATGTCAGACCTGCTCCCCATCTCACGATGGAGTGGCGTCGAGTCAAATGACCGGCCACCTCCTCCACTCTTTTTTTTTTATTTTGTTCCACTTTCTTAACCAACTTCACTCCCTCCTGTCGAGTCCCTTCTCCCAACCTCTTTAATCCAACCAATCGTCCTTCTCCCACCACCGTTCATCCCTCATCCACGAGCTTCTTCTTTATCTTCAGCCAATTATTCTCGAGTTTCTTTTTGTCCTCTACGGGAGGGCGGAGTTTTTTGGTTGAAAGCTCAAAAGCCTTCAACAAGGTCATCTCATTCATAGGTTTCTTATTGCTCACCACTACTCTCTTATGTTAACAACCAACTAAGAGATAGAAAATTCAAAAGTGTGATGAAAAAGTGTTGATCACACCTTTCTTAGAAGGAATGCGGGTGCAAAAATCAAAGGTGTTCAATTATTAGAAGTCTTTATTATGCAATAATTAAATTATTTTTTTACATTTGAATTTCATATTTTTATCACATATATCGCTTTCAAAAAGAGAATCAGAGAATTAAATATATACATTAAAAATATGATAGCACGAATCTCGAGAAAATCGATGAGTCCCGCTTGCATTGGGATAGTTAAAAGATAGAGAAACCAAGCGTCATTTCCTTCAATCGAAACTATGAGTTGTTTGAACTAAAGGATAGTCAAACAAAAGAACATTAGGCACCTAATTGAGGGACAGTTATTTGTAGCCTGCTCCCTCTACTGATTTTGGGATTCTTCATAAAGGTCACCAAAGAGCACCCTACTAAATATCTTTTTAATTTTCTAAGAAGGCTCGTTGTTCAAGGGGAGCTGTTTGTCAGATTATGGTGATACACTCTCTGTCTGACGGTCCAATTTCACCCTAACGACAAGAGGGCCCCTTTTGAGAATTCTTTTGAGAAGGTCGATCAAAGACCTCTCAGCTGACCAAATTACTCTCACATGAACGAATGAGTCTCAAACAACCGAATGTCAACACCAACAGGTCATTAAATGCCTCTTTATGAGCGGTTATGAATAAGAAAGGTGTCAACGTCTGTTATGGATATTAAAAAATCTCGAGTGGGTTAATAAGGACTTGCAACATTTTTATTAAAATAGAGACAAGCATGTAATTTTCTTAAATACCTTTAGAACCTATAAATAGGGGTCAATTCTTCGATAAAGGAAGAACATATAAATAGGAGTCAATTCTTTGATAAAGGACTACTACTGAGCTTACTCTCTCAGAACTTATGTTATTATATTTTTCTTTCCTCTTAATTTTTCTTTCCAATTGTTTCTCTCGTCCGTCAATTTTCTATACATTAAGTATGATCAACAGAACAAATTTGAATTCAACACATTGCCTTTGTAAATTTGCAATGAATACATAATTGCTCACATATGAAATTAGCAAAAGAACAAAAATCTTGAAATGAAAAGAAGTTGGGAGTGCTTATCTTGTTGAACTTTGCAAAAGAAATGATATTTAGTGAATATAGCAATTAAAAGAGGGGGACATTTACAAAAACACCATCCAATTTCGATGCATTTAGAAAATTAACACCAAAAATTTACCTTTTTCCTTACCACCCAAATCTCTTACGTCACCTAAAATTTACCAGTTTCATTACCACCCAAACCTTTTTCATTAACGCCTAAACAATCCACTACGCTAAAATTCAAACAATCCACTACGTCTATTTTGCCTAGAAAATAAGACTTAATGATTTTAAAATGATAAATTTGAATTTTAGCGTAGTGGATTGTTTAGGCAAATATAGAAATTAGTTAAGTTCATGTGACTTGTCGAAACTCATAAACCGTCACAATGATTCCTATCTTATGATTAATCCATATAGGAAAATAAAACTTTAGACAGCATAACATAAAATTTATTATTAATTAACTAACAAATTTTCAAACTTAAGATGACGTTTAATTATGTAGAAATCATGTGACATGTAACATTTTGTGTAGATTTAATAATTTTCTGGGAGCTGTATTTTATTTATTTATTTCATTTTAAAAAAATAAAAATTTGTGGTTAAGCGGCCCTATTAACAAAAAGTTTTGCCCTTTTTGTTACCATTATCACTAGTGATATACACATTTCAGTATTTTTTTAAAGGGCTAATAACCAGGGGTGTAAACGAACCGAACACGAATGAATAGTGTTTATGTTTGTGTTCGGTTCATTTGAAATTTAGTTTGTTTGAAATAAGCTCGTGTTTGAAATTGTTCCTGAAGTCAATGTTCATGTTCGTTTCTTAACGAACGAGCCGAACACAAGCTTTTCGCAACGACGAGTCAGTTTGACATCTCTAATATTAATATATATATAAATAGTATATTAATATATTATTATTATTAATTTATTATATATTATAATTTATCAAATTTAATTTTTTAAAATATCATAAATTTTTTTATATATAATTATTTTAAATTATTTTATATCTCGAATAATAAGGATTCGAACACGAACGAACGCATCACTGTTCCAAATAAACGAACAAACGCATCAATGTTCCAAATAAACTGTTTAATTAAATTATTTAATTGAGCTTTTTTGCTGCCACACTTAGGGGTGAAAACGTTGTTTTTAACGTTTTGAAAATACATAAACTGTCAAAACACAATTTACCCAAACAGACCTGGAGCATTTTTAAAACACCACCACACCAAATAAACTGCCTCAAACGAGATAATTTTAATAAATTGCCATAAAACTATAATAAATATTATATTTCCATTTAATTTAATTCAAGGGATTTTAGCGTACAACAATGTGCATGCACATGTTAAATGTAAGGTGATTAAACTATGAAGTTTAATTTCGTAATATGAAATAATTTAAATAAGGGGCATTTACATCCATACCTTACAAATCTAACACCTAAATAATTGGCAGCCCAATGCTGAATATAACTTGCAAATTAAACAAAAATAATCCTTTTCATATAATCAAACCATCCAAAAAATTGAATTTCACCACTGAGGAAGATAATATTCTGTACAATAAGAAAATTTGTCATAGATAACATAAGAACATTTACAACATATTAGAAATCATCAAAATTATAAATAAATAAAAAAAACTTCATACATTGTTCATTTCATACTGTAACAATATTGTTAAGAATCACATCTTTGAAACATAATTTCCATTTGATGGAGCAGAAGAAGAGGCTGAACCTGCACATTTACATGTTCCAGCTGCAGCTTCAAAATCACATCTTTGTGATGCTTTGTGGCAGGGAGATTCTGCACCATGAAAGTTGTGGTCATTTTGCAGAAGAATCTGAGAGAAAATAGACAAAACATCAATAAATTGTCCGACGAAGTTGAGATGGAACTTTTAGGTTGTCTTTGGATGCTTGGAATTCAATAAACAAAAGGTTGAAAAACTGCGAATGATTGTGTATTTAAAATAAACCAAAAAAATTGCTAGAATTATAAATTTTTTTTAGAAGATTTACATACATACCCCACAATTCCGAAGCATCTACATATCAAACGTCTAAACTTCGGTTTTTATATACATTCATCTTATCTATACATGAACGTATATATATTTCACTTTTAAAAGTTAAAATGGTGGTTTTTTTTTATATGATATGAGGATTTGGGTGGTATACATGCAACAGGTAAAACTCAGGTGTTTGATATGTTAATACATAGGAATTGGGTGGCATGTATGTAAATGCCACTTGCTTCTTTTGAAAAGTAAGACAACAGGCTTTTTATAGCTATCTCATTCTAATAAATCTGGTTGTAAAAGCTGTTCACCATAGAAATTTACAAAAGGCAGAAAGAGAAGACCAAATCCAACTAGACGTGGGACAGAAGTTTGAAAAAGAATGATGAAAAAACTACACTATATGAAATTTCAATTTCTTCACTATCATTTTGTTAAGGGGCGCCTAGAGTAAGGGAAAATTTATCTTTTGTACGCCTAAGAGCAATTTAGTCTTTTATTATTACTAAAATGGGGTAAAAATAGGCTTGCTATGTCTAGGATTGGGGTTATGCATAAGATTAAGTTTTGAGTCTTTGGAGTTTGTGAGAGATTTCCTACCTTTCAAACTCTAGGAATTGGGAGAGATCGCTTACCTCTCGAATTGTAGGAGCTTATCTTTTGTGGTGTGAGTTGTTTGGATTGTTGAAAGAAAAATTTATTTTTGTCATAATTTCAAGGAAAAACATTCCGATACCTGCTTCAGATCGTATCAAATTGGTTTCAAAGCTAAAGATTTTGAGAATCAGATCGATAGAAGAGAGGATCGATCAACTCGACCGAAAGCTGAAGCAAATCGACGCTTCCTGAGCGAGGATTTCAGACGGCATAGCCCCCGGTTTCCGCGTGCAAAGCTCTAAAACAAATAAAAGATTGAGACATTTACTGATCGCGGTGTTCAAAGCCAAAACGGTCACGGGAAGCGTCGCGACGTACAGAATCGCAAAGGGAAGCAAGAGACAGGCCGCTACAAACGCGATGGCGACTCCTGTGTGACTAACGTTGTGATACAGTGCAATTGCAACTATACAATCGTGATTCTAGCGGGTTGGGAAAGTCGTAGCTATTGTTCCTCGCGATACAATCGTGACCATATCTACCTGGGAAGACAACGGCTCGAAAGCATAGCACAAGGACCCAAAACTCCCATTTTCCTTACTCTTGCGTCGTCTACGCAATCCAGTAGCGATTAGAGCTAGTTGGGAAAGCATCTACAAGGAATCGCAACGAACAGAGACCCGAAGCTTTTGAGATAGCAAGGAACAGATTCCCGATGCTCCCATATACCAGGATTGCGCCGAGCTGTGCGCGTACAATCGCAGTAAGTACTTCATAGGAAATGAAGTCGAGATTGATGGAATTGACGTGATCAGGAAACACTGATTTGACGTACAGGTGATAAGAGCTAGCTGAGCAGAGACGACGGGATTTTAAGGTATAAAAATATCTTTGAGATTAAAAATTTTTTTGAAAGAGATGGTAGCAAAGAAAGTAGATCTGGAAAAGAAATTGGATGAAATGATCAGGCAAATCAAATTTGGGATGGAAGAAAGATTCGCCACTATAGAGGAGAGGTGGTCTTCTATAGAGAACCGACTGGAGGATCCATTCAAGAGCATGGGGGAAATTCAAAAGATGCTAAAGAGGCTCATTGAGATGCAATACAAGAACCCACCGACAGCTCAATACACAAACCCTAACAAAAAATTGACTGGAGAACCATAGCAAGGTCAAAAGGAAAAGAGATCGAACATGAGGAACATGAGGAAAACATCCACATCACGAACCTCCTCTCAAGGCTCCGATTAGGAGTGGATTAGTGATTTCTAATAGAGACGGTTGGGCCGAAACATAAAGAAGATATTATGTCAGAGGTATGGAGGAGCGCGAAGAAAAAGGGAGAGAAGCAGAGAGAAGATATGGCTACGATCGAAAGGATTTTTACGCTCGATACATGAGGGGAAACAATGGAAGAAAAGGAAGTTGAGGTGGAGAAGTTAGAATTAGGATGTTGAAGATACCAATCTTCGAGGGGGAAAATACACATGAGTGGGTGTATCGAGCGAGGCGATACTTCATGGTGAATGGGTTAGATGGGAAGGAAAAACTCATGACGGCATGATTGTCTTTGGAGGATAAAGCCTTAGCCTGGTTTGAATGGAGGGAGCCTAGATACTCGATTCGTTCGTGGGATGAATTTAAGAATTGTTTGTTGAAATGTTTCCGAGCCATTTGGGAATGAGACTTACACGAGCAATTATATGTCTTGACTAAGGAGAGAACGGTCATGGAATATAAAGAGAGATTTGAACTATTGTTGGGACGACTGCGAGGGATTTTTGAAGAATGACTGGAGGGGAATTTCATGAAGGGCTTAAAGCCCAACATACGGGCGGCCTCCGACTACTAAGATCGTCGGGATTGAGGGAGATGATGGAGCTGGCCCAGATGGTGAAGGAAAAGAATCAGATGAAGAAAACTAATAGGAGCAGCACAAATGGAGCGTTGTACGGAACTTCTGCAAAAATGACAATGTCAAAAGTTCAAACAGTGGAAGTCCAGAGGAAGGTTGTAAGGGACACTAATAATGGACCACGACTGAAAGCAACATTCAAAGTGCCTTGCAAACACAAAGTTTCAGAGAAGCAAGCCAAAGGGTTATGTTTTGGTGCAATGAGAAGTTACTCAGGACACCGTTGCAAGGATCGAAGATTACAAGTTCTCATAGTGCAGAACGAGAAGACGGGGAATGAAAAAATAGAGACAACTGTGACGGAGGAGGAACACTCATTCTTTCCCGCCTGTAACGAGGACGTCTGGCCAAAGGGCAAATTTATCTTTATATGCCTATTGTTGGGTATTAATAGGCTTGTTATGTTTAGGGTTAGCGTTATGCATGAAATTGAGTTTTTAATCTTAGGTTTAGAGTTTGGGAGAGATTTCCTACCTTTCGAGTTGTAGGAATTGGGAAAGATCGCCTACCTCTCGAATTTTATATGCATATCTTTTGTGTACATTTGAGTTGTTTGGATTATTTAAATAAAATTTTTTATTTGCCCTAATTTTTGTGGAAAAACGTGTAGATTTCTGCTTCGGATCGTATCAACATTGTATCCACCAAAAACCTTAGAGATGCTTGAAAGATGAGATGGTTTGCCAGGAAGAGAAGGTGGCAATGGAGATCATAGATTAGAGAGAATTGAAAGAAAAAAGCGAAAGGTTGAACCTATTGTCTCCTATGATTTCAAGGCAAGAAAAAGGACTATTACATACCTATTACTCAATTCATATGTATTTACATATCTAACACCTAAACTTCAATTTTTGTATACACGCACCTTTTAAAAGTTAAAATAATGATAATATTAAGTGTATGTTATAAATGTAAAAAGTAAAGATTAGGTGTTAGATATGTAAAAACATTAGAATTGGGTGGTATGTATGAAAATGCCCCCAAAAAAAAAATTTGCATGTTTGATTCAGCCAATCCCACTTGTTTGCCGGAGAATATGAGACCCTGCAACACTCAAACAGTATCACTTTCTTTCTATAAAAGAAAAATTAAAGTTCAAAATGGGAGTTATGAACCAATTTATTCATATTTTTCAAAACTCTCAAAACGCTGCATCCAAAAACAATCATTTTAAGATAATAATTTGCAATACAGTTACTAACATAGGAGAAGATAAGATCTTAGAAGGCTAAAACAGTTATATTTATCAGTACCTTTTTCCTCATGATAATCTTTCAAATTTGTCCTGCTGTTCTGCAAATATTGCTCAAGGAAGAGCTGAATTGTTCTCCAATACCGATCCCCAGCAGAAAACCATGTGTCCATATGCATTCCATCAGGAAATTCAAAAAATAAACACTGGTTGTTGTGCTCAATGGCTTTATCAAACAGCACCCTCATGTGCGATGGAGGAACCAACTCATCTTTCAATCCAGACAGAAATAGAATGGGTTGCTTGATCTAAATATGCAAAATAATAAAACAAAGAATTACATACATACCACTCAATCCTATGTATTAACATATGTAACACCTAAATTTCAATGTTTACATGCATTATACCTAACCTAAGCATGAAAAGATGTATTTCATTTTTTAAAAGTTAAAATGGAGGTATTTTTTTATGTGATATGAAAGGTTTGGGTGGTTTAAATGTAAAAAAGCAAAGTTTAGGAGTTAGATATGTAAATACATTAAGTATAAAGTAAGTTTGGACATCTCATTGTTTCATTTCTTAGCTTCAAAGAGACTCAAATTTGGAGAAATCAGCTGAAGAAAGAACCAATGCAAAACCAACTCAAACTAAGGCCTTTTTAAATAGAGCTTTAAAAATACTATATAAAAAGTGGAAACAACGGCTAAAACTTTTTTCTTCAAATGCTCCGACACATCTCATTGAATCCAAGCTAGAAAGTATCGATCGAAGCTTCAAGATAGAAAAAAAAATATGGATATGCATAATAATAGCTTTATCCGATCCAAAGACAAATAATTTTAACTTTTTATTTTGTATGAATGTGTAGTAGCTCAAATTTAAATAGTTACATAAATTTACACGTTAGTGTGAAAATATATTTCAAATTTCAAGTCATGATGTTCTAACACACTTCTAAACATATTCTTAATTATTATACAAGATTTGCTTCATTTATTTGTAATAATTATTTTCTAATATTTGACTTTTTTTCATTATATTTTAAGCCGGACAAATTGAAATGTATTTCTAATATTTATTAAATAAGCAAAGTATGTTTACATGGATTGTTTAATGTCACACATCCTAGAGGGCCCAATTCAGAATTGTATCTTATCCACAAATTAGGGACCAAACATTCATGTCTTATAAATTAATAAAACTGGCCCCCATTGTGATTATAAAATGATCAAATCAAGGTTCCATTCCCCAGCCTCTATCAAAATTTTGAGAGCTGGGTTAGGTTTCACTCGAACAATCCTACTTCAGTTTCATGAAGTTGCTGCAAAATATCAACTTAGGCCTCGAACAAAACAACATGATTAAGATAATATTCTGCTAGTTTGGAGCCAAGGTTTCATATTGTTGATAATTTTACCTAGTTTTTACTCCAGTAAATAGGGTTTAGTTCTGCTATAAATTTGGGGCCAAGGTCTTCAATGCAAAATGACAAAATAAAAGTTGTGCTAAACTATCTTGGAGCTAAGGGCTTGTTTGGGATTATTTTTGTCTTTATGTTATATTTTTTGTTTTTGTTTGTGGCTAAGGACTTCAGTTAGAAATTTTGAGCAATCTAGAGTCAAGCCTCTATGTTTCTGAAATTTTCAAAGGCAATTTAGGCTCCGCTCTGACAATCTTGCTTTAGATTGACAATATTGCAACAAATATAGGCTAAAAACTAAAAACAAAAAATGACAAAATGAAGATTCTATTCTTCCAGCCTTAAGCATGTTGAGATCTTCAAAAATCACTTGGGCTCTATTTTGCTTCAATGATTTGTTGCAAACTTTATTCAAGCTAAAACGTAAAACACATAAACAATTGGACAATATCATAATTTATCCATGTTTTTAGAATTCCCGGAGGCAGTCAAGAATCACTCTAAATTTTTTTAGAAAATTTACAAACATAATGATAATATACCACACAATTCTTATGTATTTCACAAGCAAAGTGTGATATTTACACTTAAAAATCTTGGTGTCATGAACCTAAGAATGAAATTTATATATTTCACTTTTAAAAATATAATGATAATGATATTTTTGATGTAATGTCAAATATTTGAGTCTTATGCATGAAAAAATGAATGCTTTGATGCTAGATATGTAAATATATAAGAATTGTCTAGTTCGTATGTAAATGCCACAATTTTTTTTCAAAAACATACAAACGCTGGTTAATGATTTAAGACTCTAAACCTTGTTCCAATCTAGTCAAGGTTTCAAACATAGAATGGAAGGATCAAAGTCCTGATTGTTAGACCTGAACTAAGGCTCCACTTTATCAAAATCTCTTGAAAAAATGAAAGTGAAATCATTGTAGGGCTTCTAGATGGTATGATAAAGCAAAAGATGTAAGTGGAGTTGTGGGATTGATTACGTAAGTGGGAGGATGAATGGCGGCTGATAATCGGCTCGACTGGCGACGGGACAATGAATCGTAAACGGGAAAAAGGCAGATTACTGCTCTAACAGCAGAGGAAGGTGACTTTGAAGTTTCTCTGGCTGAATACAAACACACCACTAAGAATAAAAAGAGCTTATTAAAAAGCTCTCGAGAGCAAAAAAATCAGAGAAAATTTTTTCAATTTATAAAATCAGCCAAATAAAAATCCAACAGCCATAATGCAAACATATATAAAAATCCCCTAATAAAAAATTTCTAATTGGAAAATAGAAAAACACAAAAGAACCAGACAAGAAAGAAACAAAAGATGAAAACGTGTAGATAATAGAATAAGCAACTAAAAAGGAACCCTCGGTTCATGATTCGTGCAATCATGGAGGTCGCGAGTCTGGAAGCCACATATTGCGGAACCACGATACCGTGGGAAGGTTCCCCGTCACAAAACATGATCTCAAAACAAGTAAAACCCTTATATATATATATATATATATATATATATATATATACTATTTCTAGAAAAAAAGATACAAATAACTAATAGAGTAACCTCATTAAAGATATAATAGACAAATGTAAGCAGACCAGAATGAAAAATTTTAAAAAATAATAGACAAGTGCTTTCAATGGTGGGTAAACTTAAAAATTTAAATTCTTATAAAGAAATCAAAATTTTCATGGGTCCGCCCATGCCAACCCTCCCCCCTGGCCTTTAATTTTTGAGAAGTTCCTTGGATATGATAATTTTTATGCTAACCGAAATTTCTGCACGTTAAAACCATGTCAATAAAGGCTTCCTAAAGCTAGATATTTTGATGATGGAACCATGGGATTTTAATATGGTAAACTACATTGGTACACCTATTCCTAGGACTTTTCCAACCTAGAAAATCTTATGAAGCATTAGTCAAGTGATTTCCTGGACCAAGAATGCTCTCCTTGATGACAAAAATAATTAGGGTTAACTACATACAGGACACTTCAAACATTGCCATTTACAAATCTAGTACCAAGGTGGAATTTTTTAAACTATCTAACTGACACATTTTCGTGTACCACAATAAAATCATAGAGAATTTGATAAAAATGAAAAATATAAGCTGAGATTTTATCATGAATTTTGGTATTTGATTGAAAATTTTAAAAAAAAAATGGATGAAAAAGGATGCTAAATTTGTAAATAGCAAAGTTTCGAGGTTTTAACTATGAGTGCTTGTGCTCATAAGAAGTCTCAAATACTAGATCTACATAATTTTTTATCTAATGTTAAAAGTAAATGTGAATAAATACGTCCATCTGTCTCAACAAAAAGAAATTTAGCTTTCCACGAGAGCGGGGTTCAAGAATTTGTTAGTCTCTTTCCTGAGCTATAAGCTACTACATAGCTTTTTAAAGAAAGCACACCTTCATGAGCCAAACACTAGCAAAGTTTTACCAAATGCAAAAGAAAGTTTACATAAATACCACTCAATTACTATTTATTAACATTTCACACCTAAACATCAATTTTTACGTACATGCCGCCTTACCTATGCATGAAAAGGTATTTCACTTAAAAAGTTAAAACAGTGGCATTTTTTATGTAATAAGAACAATTTGGGTGCTATAAATGTAAAAAGCTAAGTTTAGATGTCAGATATGTAAATACATAAGAATTATGTAAATGCCCCAATGCAAAAAATGAAACATTCCAAGAATAAATAAAATCACTCAATTAAATGTCAAGCATTCTTAAACAGCTCTGAATTCACATCTTAAGCACGATATCATTAGAGCAATAATAAACAGTTAATGGTGAGTCAGAAATAATAAAAATAAGATTTTTTTTTTAATCGTATTATAAAGAAATGGAGCAAGGATGATGACGGAGATTCCTAACTCACCTCCCCAATAACATCAATTGTACTCCATGGTGACCGTACAAGAAAATTAAGAACTTTTGGGCCGTTTGATCCCTTGCCTCCTATAAACCACTTCAGAAACGGAAGCATAATTCCAGCCATGTCCAATATAGAGGTGAAGGTGTTTTCCAAAATAAGAGCAGAAACCTTCAATTTGAGAAAAGAAATGCTGTGACCGATAAACAGAATCCGTGCATGCCATGACCTACAAACTTATCTTTTAGCAGAAAAATCATTCTAGCACAATGTGGCACAAAGTTGAAGAAATGGAATTACAGAAAATGCTTTTTTTTTCTTCTACTAAGAGTGTCTCGGGCGGAATATGATACTCATAATCACTTTTCTTCTTGAGAAAGTCAATGATGAGTCAAATACTTTTCAAGCCAGAAAAAAAAAAAGGAAATTTACATATGCCACACAGTGCTCCTGGATTTACATATCTAACAACTCAAGTTTGATATTTAGAATTATAACATCTTGATGCTATAAACCTATGCATAAAGAAATGCATTTGGCTATTAGTAAAGTGGTATTTTTTATGTGATATTAAAGAGTTGAGTGTTATGAAAGTAAATTTTAAAGATAAGGTGTTAGATATGTAAATACACAAGAATTGTGAGGCATGTGTGTAAACTGCCCTAAAAAAATCATCCTTTGGTGCAGAATTCTTGCCATAACATTACATTAACCATATAATGCTATTGAAGTGTAAGGAGATATTAATATACCACACACCAAGAAATAAAGTATAAGGCATATACTAAGAGGAACCTCTACAAAGCTTTTATGGAAAATACTAAATATAAACTTCGTGTATTAGGTAGCTTGTATGCTAGGAAGCTTGCATATTAGGTAGCCTAATTAGAGGAGAAATTTAATTTCAAATATTTTCTATATTAGGTAGATTCCTAATATGAAGAGAGAGGAGTGCCTATAAAGTTGTAGCATGTGATTTCAATGAGGAAGAAGGAGGGAGCCTCTTTCCTTTCCCTCACATGGTATCAGAGCCCAGGTAGAAGTATTTGTCTGTGCCCTCATCTGTGTCCTGCGGTGTCTTCGTCACCTACCCGCCAACCCGCTTCGTTGACTGCGTTGATTGCTTCATGCGAAGTGATCATCAGTGCCTTGTAACGTCATCATCGACGTCTTCGCCTACTTAGGTTGCCTTCTTTGACAACTTGGCCGGCATCATCTGCTTTCGCAATGACCTCGACTGCTTCCTCTGCTTCATCCATTTTTGACTGCTTCCAGTGGGTCATTGACAGCTTCCTACGAAGGCATTGTCAGCTTCCTGTGAGACCTTCGCTTCAAACAGTGTCATCTACTTTCGCAACGACTTCAACAACTTTAATATGCTTCTTCCGCCAATTTGTGTCAATGAGATTAGGGCATCGACAAAGTTGACGTGTTCTATTAGGTTTGCTTTTTTAGTTGTTGCTCGTCGATATCAATTTGTTTCCCTTTAATTTGGAGTTTCTTGAGCAGTGGGTCTATTGTTATCTGCCTCTGAGTGCTTTAGAAGTTCATCCTTTAGTACTTAATTACATCAGTTACGCCTGATGAGCACAAAAATCTTGTGACAGGTTTGATTTCATAGCTAACTTACAGCTGAAAAATTAAATGGCATTGATTATTTTTACTGAAATAAAACTGTTGAGACTTTATTTAACGTGTATTTCTCAATAGAGTCACTTCATTGATAATCTTATAGCTGAGACTTGGTTAAATTATTCTGAGTGTATCAGAGTAGATATTTAGCTTTTGATACAAATATGAAATTTTATCAAACCTAATCAATCTGGTCATATTACTCATTATAACTGTGTTGAGATGTGATCGAGGAATTAATGTTTGTATTTTCTGGGAGGGAAAATATTTCTCGAATATTTGATGTAAGGAATTTCATCGTGCTAAGCAACAAGATCAATCACTTAACACGTATCACATAAACTTTAAACGTCTATGAAGAATCAAACACACTATTGACCTTTAGTACAAATTTATGGAATCAACAGGCTCAAACAGAACAAATGGTTATCATGAGTTTTATAGCCGATTTCAACTCTCAGTATGAAGTTAAATCACAAACCTTTTATGCCCCTAGATACAACTCTCAAGGAAAGCCTGTACTAGAGTAGTGCGTACAAGTTTTCATGCCTCATAAGTACAACAATTTAGTGTTCTTGCGAGTCATAAAAATATAGACATCAGTAAACCTTAGTCTCAAGACAGTTCTAGAAGTAGAAATCCAAATTTTGGAAACCAAGGGTCTAAGGTAGTGTGTTATTACTATTATTAAGTTGGTCATATGCAAATAAACATGTTAGAAGCTACTAAAAAGAACAAGAAATATTCTAAATCACAATCAGCTCTCATGATCACTACTACTGAGGCCTCTCAGAGTCACACTCTCTTGATCTCTGCAGATGAATGTGCTTAGTTCATCACATTACCGAGTCAGGTATATATGATACTTATCTTCTTTCATCTTCCACAAAATGGGTCATTGATTCTGATGCTACAAATCAAATGACAAATTATCCAAAACTTTTTTATACCTTTTATAAACACATTTCTTCCATCATTTTAGCAATGAATCAACCTCTAATGTTCTCAGTTCTGGCACCATTAATATTACACCCACATTGCCTCTAACTTATGTTCTCAATTTATCTCATTTCGCTTTTAATATTGTTTATGTTAGCAAAATTATGTGTGTTCTTAATAGTTTTATCTTATTCTTTCACAGTCATTGTATATTTCAGGATCTTAAGCCGAAAAAGATTATTGGTAAAGGACAAAATTGGGGGGTTGGGGGCTATACATTTTGGATAATGAGGTACCTCGACCCATAGTCTATTCTTACATCAGATTAGTTTCAGTAGTTATCATATTTAGATTGTGTGTCGTCTCAATTTCCTAAACACCATCATTTGTCTGTTGTTCCCAAAATTAATAAATAAGTCATTCATTGTCTTAAGTTGGTTCATTATGATGTATGGGGACCTTGTCCTATTTAATCTAATGAATTTTGATATTTCGTCATTTTGGTGGATGATTTCTCTCATATAACATGGTTTTATTTTATCAAATCTCATATTGAGATATTGTCACATTTTCAAACTTTTTATGCCAAAATTAAAACTCGATTCAATAATTCGATGAAAATTCTAAAAAGTGACAATGCCAAAGAATATTTTTTACATCCTTTCAGAAGTACATAACACGAAATGGGATGCTTCACCAGTCATCCAATGTCGATACTCCATCCCAAAATGGAGTAGTTGAAGGAAAAAATAGACATCTTCTCGAGAAAACTAGAACTCTTGTGTTTCAAATGAATGTGCCTAAACAGTTCTGGGCTGATGCAGTCTCTACTGCAGAAGAACAAGTCACATTCTTTGTTAACTCATCAGTGTCTAAATCCTCAATTGATTCTGATGAGTTGTCAATGTATCACATCACAACTGCAGATCCTACTCCATCACCATCTCCATCTCCATCTCCATCTCCATCTCTAATGCCTCAGCCCAAACCACCTATCTATATTGCTTACTTGAGAAGTCCTCGCTCCCCTGATCTGAGTTCGGCATCGGTATCATCTTCCTTAGTGGATCCTCCTCCCAGTGAACTTGATTTACCCATTGCTATTCAAAAAAGTAAATGTCAATGCACCTACCATATTTCCTCTTGTGTTAACTATAATTGGTTAATCTTCCACTATATGCTTATTTGTTGCTTCTCTTGACTCTCTTGAGGTTCCAAGATCTGTTCAGTAAACCTTATCCCATTATGGGTGAAGGGCAAAAATGTTTGATGAGTTGAATGCCTTAACTGAAAATGAACCGTGAGAACTAGTTGAACTATCTTTTGGAAAAAAAGCTGTTGGTTGTAAGTGGGCCTTGGTAGCTAAGTTACATTTTAATGGATCTGTGGCTCATCTCACAAATCAGTTGGTGGCCAAGGGCCATGTTTAAATTTAGGGATCGACTACTTTGGACACAAGCTAAGTTAACTTTATTTTGCCTACTCCTGTCCATATCCGCAATGAATAATTGGCCCTTGAACCAGCTGATATGAAGAATACTTTTTTGTAAGTTGATCTGTTGAAAGAGGTATACATGGAGCAACCTCCTGGGTTTGTTCTGGGAAAGTGTGTTATCTTCAGAAACCCCTATATGGATTGAAGCAAAACCCTCAAGTATGGTTTGAAAAATTTTGCCAAGCAATGAAAGCATTTGGGATGCCTAAAAGTAAAAGTGATAACGCTATATTCTATAAGCAATCTGTTTAAGGAATTATTCGATTTGTGGTTTATGTCGATGATATTATAATTACAACAAGTGATGCTCGGGAAATCTTATCATTAAAATCATTTCTTCAAAATCAGTTCGGTAATAAAGATCAGGGTTCCTTAAAGTACTTCTTAGGGATTGCAGTATCAAGAAGCAAGAAAGGAACCTTTTTATCTCAAAAAAAAGTATGTGTTAGATTTGCTAACAGAAACTAAAAAATTATGGGTCAAATTATGCAATACTCTGATGTTTCCTATTCAAGATAGAGAGCTTTTTATTGATCCTGAATGGTATGGAAAGTTAGTAAAAAAATTATACTACATCACAGTAAATCGTCTTGATATTATGTATTTTGTTAGCACTATAAATTAATTTGTCTTTCCCCAAAGTCCATCATTGGTCAGCTTTAGAACAAATACTATGTTACCTCAAGGGAACTCCTAGACAATGTATTTTATATTAAGATCATGGGCATAGAAATATTGAATGTTTCTCTGATGTAGACTGCGCAAATTTCAAAATTGATAAAAGATCTATTACTGGATATTGCGCCTTTGTTGGTGATGTATTTTATATCAGAGTCATGGGCATAGAAATACTGAATGTTTCTCTAGTGCAGACTGAGCAAGTTTCAAAATTGATGGAAGATCATTTATTGGATATTGTCTCTTTGTTGGTGATAATTTGTTCCCATAAAAGAGTATGAAGTAGAATGTAATGTCACAGCGCAGTGTTGAATCTACAGCTCATGTGAAGGCTTGGGAACAACTAGGAGACATCTTCACAGGGGCCCTTAATGGAGTACGAGTCGGTTATATTTGTAATAAGCTAGGTATGATCAATTTCTATGCTCCAATTTGAGGCAAGTGGTATGAAAAATACTAAATATAAAGCTTGTACATTAGGTATTTTGTACATTAGAAAGTTTGTATATTAGATAACCTAATTAAAAGAGACTTAAATTCAGCTCTTTTCCATATTATGTATCTTTCTAAAGAAAGAAGAGTATCTATAAAACTGTAACATATGATTTCAATGAAGAATAAGAAGAAGGGAGTTTCTTTCCATCACAAAATCCAAGTAATGCTAAATATACTCCGACAAATTCACATATATAGCACTAATCAAACAAAAGCTTGTGCTGACATAATAGTGAAGATCCCACCCTTTCTTGTGCATTTGAAAAACCACCATTTCAACTAATGTAAAGAAAAAGGCTCCACAATATAAATCAAGTTCACTAAAGCAAAAACTCGTTGCATTAACTAAATTAAAACAAAAATAAAAAATAAAAAATAAAAAATACAAGTAGCAAGCAAGTTCATCCTAAGAATATAAATACAAAACTGTGTTTGATAAAACCTTGCTGAAAATATCAGTTTCAAAACCAATGATAATTTATAAAATAATATAAAATGTGTGAATAAATATCATTTATTTTTTAGAATCCATTACATAAAAAGGATGTTCCTAAAAATACGTTAAGACCATTATTTAAGGAACACTTCATATGCATGGAAAATGATTCTAAAATCAAGTTTACGTTTTCAACTGTATGGTTCTGAAAAAGCCCCTATCCCATTTGACTGATGCAATATCACTTTATTATTGATATCATGACGAACAGATTGCACATTTTTTTTGTGACGTGGCATTACATCCATTAGAATTCATGACCAATCAAGGAAACATACAAATTCTTGTAAGAAGATCATTAGCACATAGAAAGCATTACTTAACCTTGGCTCAACCTTCAAGCTGAAGTATTTCAGCCTTTTTCAAAGGATAAAAAACTACAAGAACTTATTAATTGAAAGGATATCACAAGGCCCATTACATAAAAGTAGGCACAAAACAAGTAAAGTAATACGAGCAAAAGCCAACTAAAAACTGATTCCACACAGAGTTATGTCTTCTTGTAATGAACAAATACATGCAGTTCTATTGAAATACCTTATCAGGATTGTTCCGTGCAAGTACCGAACCAATTGCACCACCTAAAGATCTTCCAAAAATAACCATTCTAGACGTGTCAACATCACTTCTGTTACATAAATGGTCCAAGGCTGCCTAGAAACAAGGGAAACAAGAGCAAATGCCAACATGTAACTAAATAAAGAATACCTAAAATAGTAATATGCCAAAATAGTTCCCCAGCTGTTTACATAGGGCCATTTTAGTCCCAAAGTCTAAAAAAAGTGTCAAATTAATCCACAGACTCTTTAGATTGGGGCCGAAACAATCCTCAATGAAAACTATTTAGCCCATATTAAGAAAGTTTGGGAACTAAATTGACACTATAGACTATGGGAACAAAATGACCCCCTGCAAAAAATCATTGGACTATTATTATACTTTTCTCATGATTTAAATGTGTATATATTAAATAATTTACTTAGATAGCAAACATGCAAAATCAAGCAAACCTGGGCATCCTTTATTATTCCATGTTGAGATGGATAGCCATCACTTGCTCCGTACCTATTTTTAATGAAAATTTACATACATTTTGAAATTTCCAATATAAATCAAGTAGAGATAAAAAACTATTTGAAAAATCAAAATATCATATATCAAAGATATGTACCCTCGATATGATAGCATAAACACATTGCAATGCAATCTTTGCATCATTATATGAACAAATTCAAGACGATGGGCAATATCTAGAGGATATCATTAAAATCAACAGTAAAGTACTGTCCAGGTACAATAGCTAACCATTTTAAATAAGGGATTTACATACATACCACACAATTTTTATTTATGTACATATCTAACATCTAAACTTTCATATTTACATGCGCAGCACTCAAATATTTAGCATTACATCAAAATACGACTATCTCTATTTTTTAAAAGTGAAATACAGCTTTTCATGTATAGATTTATAACGCCAAGGTTATATAAATGTAAATATCAAAATTTAGGTATCAGATGTGTAAATACATCAGAATTGTGGCTTGTGTATGTAAATTTCCCTTTAAATAAATAAAGAGTTTGAATTGAGCTTCTTATCAGGATACTGCCAGCATTTTCTTGGAAGAAGAGTATTGTCGGACCTGTAGAAAAGAACAATCATAAGAGACTGCTAACTTACTAAACATCTAATAATTAGGCCAAAATATTCATGTAAAAAAAATACTTTATCATGAACAAACATCAATTATAAGCCAATTCACAGCAATAAGAAGGATAGATTCTTTTTTATCAAATATGCACAACTCTTAGAGGACAAGAGCTAGACAATCTATACGCAACATAAAAACTTATTAAACAGAAACTTATCAATTAAAAAAGTATAAAATGTAAAGTGATTATTAAACAGCAATACTTCCTACAATATGTCTTAACATGATAGCAACAAGAACAATAAAAATAGAAAAGAAGTAAAATTGCTAAAATCGCAGGCGATAAATATGCTCCCAAAATATATAAAAATAGATTTTCATTCTTTCCAAATTACGTCATTGATAAGAAAAAAAAAGAAGAAAATATAATGTGAGACGTAAGTTATTTCAAACACAAATGTTCCTGGCATTGGAAGATATCCAAAAGACCAAGATAGAATCATTTAAAGACACAATATACATTTTCCTTAACACAAATGATCATTAAAACAAGAAGTTCCGATTATAGAGTATTAACAATAAAGGTTATCATGGTTATGCGAATGTTCAATAATAGCATTTTTGGTTCGTTAAGAGTGGATACCTACGGAGGGCTGTTACACCTATTCATATACATGTATTCAGATTCACCATTAAAAAAAATACTTAAAACTCAATAGCAAATTTAGTTCGCTCGATCAGAAACAAATCTGGCAATGATGTTTATATTTAATAAGCTGCTATTCAAAATGTTAAATAGAAATCAAGTAACAAGAAGCTTTAAACAAATTTGAATATCTCATTCCTCTTGAAAGCTACTTTACAAAGCTTTATATGCCCATATATGGCAGCCTGATAACTGTTTTAAAAACTTTGTGCTGAAAAAGACAACATAAGAACCACCAACTATAAGTGTGTAAGGCAAGAAAACAAGAGGTATCAGAGGTATGATCATCTCGAGACACTACTATTCTTTACCAGATTGAGAAAAAGAATCAACTCTAGTTTGTTTCGAAAATTTTAAAATGTACCCAAACCAAAAATGTTCTAAAACTAGCAAACTACAAATAAGATTTTGCTTCTCATATAAATTAGCACTTTGAGTTGTAAACTATACCAAAGAAGCACAATATCTATTTTAGTACCTAAACCCTACAAAGTAAATCCCATCAAGTTTCACAAATTCATGTCACACGAGCTTTCAGCATTCTCTCTTAAGTGTAGATACATAATTAATCATGAATGTTAAGGTGAATGTACAGTAGTAATCCGAGTAAAAAATAAACCAAATTTACCACTGGTTCATGTGTATTATATTTATATCATTTAGACCAGCAGGATTGAAACAAAACTAAAGTAAATAGTCTGTATGTATGTAAACACACACACAACTAGCACATTGAATACAATTGAACAAAACTCAACTTATTTTTAGTTCATTTAAATATAAGTTCAAACTCTCTGTTTAAGCATGATGTTGACCTCATTTTTTAGGTCATTTCTTTTTCCTTAGGGTCTTAGGATCTAGCTCTAGGAGTTCCTATTGATCGACTTAGAAAACTAGAATTGGTACCCACCCATTTTTAGAAATTCTATCCACTTCATATTTTTCTCTGATGTCTAACATTTATGGCACAAGACCATCTTTTTATGAACGAGCGGTTATGGGCTATTTTGTGAAAACTCAAGGGAAAAGTTCCTAATATGACTCCAAGCCATAGGAAAACATCGTCACGACTTTTTCGTCACATACACACACCAAATGCACAAAATTCACAAAATTGCACGAAATCGACTTTAATTAAGCCTAAAGGACGGGTGAAAATGCGAACTTCTCCGGATGACCTCCGACGACAAAATGGATTGCGCCAACGCGTCCGGGATATCAATTTTGGTAGAAAAGGACACCCATATTGTCATATTTTTGACACAAGAAAATTAGCACGCAAATTGATGAATTTGTCAAAACAACTTCCGACAGCGAAACAGACCGTGCCAGCGTATCCGCAATGTCAAAATTGCCTAAAAGAGGGGTATTCATTTTGTTATATTGTGACGCACAAATGAAAATGCATAAATCGAATTTTATTTTTGAAATATTAAATATTTTTGTATACTTATATTATTATTTATAATCCTAATTATAAACCCTAAACCCTGTTTAGGTTTTCACCCGCACATTTGGCCTTTCGCTCGCTCTGTCCCGTAGCTCGAACAGATCTTGCGCTCGGCTCGTCACCCTCTCGTCCGTGCCCTAGCTCCTCCAATCGGTCGCACCCAAGACCGAGGCCATGGTCGTCGAGTCCGAGTCTTCCTCCCCACGCGCGACATTCCTCTTCCCAACACGCACGACATTCCTCTCCCCAGCACTGGCGGCTTGCCTCCTCAAGTTCCGCTGGACTGAGCGGCCCTCCAGTTGGTTTCTGCCTCGTGTCCGACTTTTCCTCTGCCCTAGGCTGCATTTCCTCTTGCCTTCAATCCTTCTCATCCTCTCCCTTTACCTAATTTGTTGTCCAAGGAAGCCGGTATGTGGCTTCTTTGCTCCTCTCTCTGCTATAAAAACCCCACTTTGGGGGAGGGTCGAAGGTTGGCCGAAATTTTCTTAAAGGAGAGGTGCTGCCATTATATTTGTTTTTATCCTGTATGCTGGAAATTTTTTTTCTGGAATCCTGTTTTCTCTTGAGAAAAGTCTGAAAGGAGAGGAGAGGAGTGGCTTTTGCTTTTGTGTTGTTGTGAGGCTGGTTCTTTTCTCTTTGCTGTCCAAGAGACTATTTTCTTTCTTCTTTACTGTGAGAAGTTTTGGGGGAGAAAGTTCTATTAACATCTTATCTAAAATTTGATTTTCGTGTGTTGGGGTGCGGAGCATCCATTGGTATTGGTGGCTGTTTCTCAAAGAAGAAAGCTCGGTCGAAATTTCTGTTTGACTAGCTTCTGGTGTGCTGGAAGTATAAAGGATTTGTCGGTTGCTATTTTTTGAAGTTTTTTTTAGGAAGATCTCTTTGGGAGGCACTTCATTGGATCTTTCTTACATTTTTTTTGCTTTAAGTCGGCATTAAGAGGTATTTTTCTCCCCTTTATTTTTTCTCCCTTCTTCTATTTTACACTATTTCGAATAGCATCTAAAGGCATCTCCATTCTCTTATAAAAAGTATTTGGAAGTGAAGCTTAGACTTATTTTGAAATTTAAGCATGGATACTCACTAGAAATGGTGAAAACAAAGCATGTGTGAGTTGTCTTTGTTCTTCTTGCTTGAGATATTTGGAAGTATCGTAATGGTGGTTTTGAGATGAGATTTACCCCTCTCGAAATGCATGTTAGAATGCGTTATCAAACTCCTTTATTACTCATGTTCAAAAATGAATGATTGGCTCAAACTCATCTATTTCATCTGCCTATCACTGTTTGAAACATATGTTGGAAATTTTTGAAACAAATGTTGGAAATTTTCTCTGTTTTACCGCTACCTTGGTTTCGGTTTTGGTTATGTTGGATTAAATGTTAGTTGGAAAATTTTCTATATTTTAGCACATTTTTGGAGGGTTCGGTCTTGGCCTCATGATAGCTGGAAATTGCATTTTACTTAGCTTATTTGGTGTGTTCGGTTTGGCTCTTTTGAGACTAAGCTCATGCTAGAATTCTTTTTTTTTATGAAGCACCTGTTGGCACAATATCTTGAAATGTGAAGTTTTAAGGGAAAATATTTTTTTAGTTGTTTGTTTTTTTTTAGTTGTTTTAAACCGTTTGCTTGGGAACGGTTTTTGTCTCTTTGAAGTTGGATCCTTATTGGAAAACCTTCTCTGTTTTTTTTAGCCTATTTGGAAGGCTCGGTCTTTGCTTCATAATAGCTGAAAAACACATTTCATTTAGCTCACTTATTGGGTTCGGCTTTAACTCTTTCTGAGATGGATTCTTGCAAGAGAAATTTGCATTTGTTTTGCTCATATGTTAGGTTTGGTTTGGCTCCTTTTGATATCATGTCTCGGCTAAAATCTTTACTGTTTTACCCCTTTGATGGGCCCAGTTTTGTTCCTATGCTGAAAATCTTTTCTTTATATGAGCTGTAAATTATATTTGGAGCTCGTATCTAGTTTATCTTGCTGCCCCTTGATAGAAAACATGCTGGAAATTATGTTTATGAGCTGGAAATATATATTTGGAACTCATTTATTGCATCTCTTGCTGCCCTTTGATAGAATACATGCTGGAAACTATATTTATGAGCTAAAAAAATGTGTTTGGGGTTCATATCTTGTTTATCTTGCTACCCTTTGTTCGAATGCTTTGTTCGAATGCATGATTGGAAGTTCGAATGCATGATTGGAATGAAATTATCAAAGTTTCTATTGCTGATATTTATGTTTACAATAAATGTTGAAAAGATGCGCTCTGTTTGTTCCCTTTGGTAGGCTCTGTTTACCATGTATTGGGCTTGATTTAGCTTAAATTATGATATGTTTTCAACTCTTATATTTGGCTCGGATTTAGCTTTCTTTTCATTCCCCTGGATGTGGGTCTTTCCTTTTAGTTCTTTTATGATTAAAAATATTTGGTTTGGGATTGTTTTTTTTCTTCTTCATTGTCCCTGGCCGCAGATCTTAATGTGGTGAATTTTCACCTTCGTTGTGAAGATCGGTTCATTGATTTGGTGAGCCGTACTTGGAGCACTTTCTAGTGATATGTTTAGAAAACATATTTAAAGTTTTACTCGTCACATTTTGAAGCTTTATTTGTGTAAGTTCAAATTACATTTTGAGGCTTTAAAATCTCTGTTTGAGATTGAGTCATTTTTTTACCAAGTTTTAAATCTCTTCGGACCGATACATTCATGATTTCATTTCAAGTTTCACTGGTTTGACTTTGTTTTAAAAATGGATCAGTCTCCTTTTTCGTTTGTTTTGTTTTCTTTTTTTAACGGTCAAGTTAAAAATGAGAATTTCCGATTTAATTATAT